TCGAATGGTTCGAATTTCACAAAATAATCGGTGTTACCGATTTCACTGTGTTCATCCCTGATACCGATTACAACGCCTTTTCTGATTTCGTCACCCCTTATTATAACCATCATCATTTCATCTCCATCAAAGTTCTGACGTCACCATTTGAAAATATGACGTCATTGTCACCGTCGTCCTTTCATCAAAATATTACAGCGCTATACAAATCACTTTCTCGAATCGAATGTTTAATAAGAAATATGTACCGGTATAAACACATCATTCTTCTTGCCCCTAACGACTTCTTCGTCCCTAAAAATTCGTACCCCTCAGTGTCAAAAATCATGCAAACGATACACAGTTACTCGAGTCCAAATTTCGTCGTCGAAACATATTCCCTTGTTCGACAATATTTTATAGTCGATTATACCGATACCGATAATTTTAACAGTAGCATCACTAATTCAAGTACTGCAGACAGATCGAATATTAACTTGAAGACGATTCAATCGCGGTTTTTTGTCGATTTGAATTCAGAGTTACCGTCACGAACGGTTATAATAAGGCCGTCTGTTTGCCTCGAGATTCATGACGAGCGATGTTCCCATTCCATCAAGCACCTAAATACCGAATCGACATTCTGGATATCCGACTACTTCGCTACGGTTCAACGCTACGAAAAATGTGACATCTCGACACCAAACAACGTTCGGTCATCTTTCTGTCGGCGTTTTTTCGAAAATAATTTAGCGCTTCATTTACACGAAGATGAAAGTTTCGAAATCGTCGGCGGTACGAAATTTATTTCCGCCGTTCGTAATGTAAAAGTTTCAAACGAATCAGCCGCTCATATTGATCAGCATTAGCCAAACAAGTTATCAGCCTCTATCAATCTCTTAAGTTCGTGGATCATTTTTATTGAATATTAACTATAATTAATTGATTAATTAATTTAATTATTATTTATTTTGATTATTATTATTGTTACTATTTTATATTATCACTATTATTATTATGATATCATGTTTAATTTGTAAGACGCTAAGCCATTTGGTAAAAGATATTGTTAAAGATTAGCTCCGTTCAATGTGTCCTATTTTCAAAATAATATAATAATAAAAATAACAATAATAACAATAATAATAATGACAGCAGCACTAGTACCAAAAACACATACATACAACGCATACATACACAAACCAATGCACACTCACACAAACAAGCGTACACACACACACACACACACACACACACACGTACACACACGTACACAATCGAGACATACTCCTACATACAAATGTACACACATGCATACAGATACACACATACAAATATGCACACCTACACACAAATGTACCCACGTTAATACATATATACATATATATATATATATATATATATATATATATATATATATATATATACATATACATATACACATACGAATATAAATATACACGCATACATACAAATGTACCCAAGTAAATACATAAATATACACATACATATACACACACATACAAACCAATACACATACAAATACACACACATACAAACCGATACACATACATACAAATAGACCGACGTCCTTGAACTTTTATTTACCTACTACAAATATTTGAAGTTTGATTTATGTATAAAAGTTGATGATGATGGTGAGGATGACGATGATGATGATGATGATGATGACGATGATGACGATGTTTGCGTGGCTTAATTGACGAGTTCGTTAAAAGAAAGATTTGAACTGCTATCAGTTATTAAACCAGATGAACGGCAAACTCGAGATAAGATAAGTTATCATAGAAACAACATACCTACCCACATCACAATGAAAAATTAAAATTGAATTTACATTTGTACAGTTTCCAAGTGGTTGTGACTTCAAAACAGGGGAGGAGAGATTATTTGACCGGGTCTTGGCTAGATAGGGGCCTTCAAAAGCACCTCAGATCATGTATTTATGTATGTATGTATAATTGTTAAGAGCAGTTTGTTAGCGCTTATTAAAACTGTTTTATGAGCGCTCACATTAAAAAACCAAAATGTTCGTAACGAGATATGAAAAACAAAAATTAAGAAAGTCCCAATTTTTACAGTTTAAAAGAAAATAAAAATGTTTTCAAGTCTTTCTTAAATAATTCCAACAAAAGTCCAGAGATCTTCTAAACGCCGGTGGAAGACCATTCCAAACAGCGGACCAGCAACAGCAATGTCTTTTGGACCAATCTGCAAACGTGTGACTGGCACAGACAGCAAATTCAAATCACCAGACCTGAGATGAAAAGTCGATGTAGCTGGAGAATCAACTCTTGTGAGACTGTAATAGGATATTACTCCATTAGGAAATATTTTCATGCTGGTAACAGGAAAAGCATGAGAACTGACAATCAAATCCAGAACGCCAGCCAGGATATGAATGTGTTGGTTCATCAATTTTATTGATGAATTGGAATGTGTCAAATATTTCATTTAACCGGATAGAATGCGGATCTTCAGTTTGTTCAACATGTACCTA